CATCAAATAGTTGATCTTGATTAAATAATTTTATTATTATTTTAGACACACTATTATTTAACTAACTTTCACTACCAGCCAGTGGGCAAAGTGTGAAAAAAAAGTAATAATTTTTGTTTAAAAACTCCATTTAGAGAGACAGTGGTAGTAATTAGTTGCAATGACGTGGGAGCTAACTCGACTACCCGCAAGAACATACTTTCCTTAATGACCCGAGAGCTACTTGACAATTTTATACTGAAATTATTTCGTACCGCATGGGCCCAACGTTAGTATTTGGTGCGTTACAGAAAAAAAACATTATTCATACATTAATTTGGTTCTAATAAGTTGTTTTTTATTTTTTCAATTATACTGTCTAATCTGTTATGGTATAATGTATTGATATGATGATCAAGAATAATCACATAATATTGTTGTATAAAATTTTGGAACTAAATTTTAATTTTGAGTTCAACTGTGCGCACTTATACCTAATTACAATTGAGACTCTTTGTCATGTTTCCGTCAACTCAATAAAACATTTGTCTGCGTGTATTTGAAGAAAATCTGACAAACGATTATTAGATACTCTCGGTTATGTACAGGTTGTGCTTGAATTTCGAATAGAATTTTAGTTTCAATGACGACACACAAGAATATAAATACTTAAAATTTCAATAGATCCAATAATGACAGAGGACCTCTTTGTTAACTTCTATACCCATATTTTGTTGGAAAAAATATTGTGATTAGGTTTTTATGCATGATCTTATGCAAAATAATCCCCTAAAAATAAATTTTCATGTTGCCAGGTATAAAAGTCTAAAATCGTTTGAACAATTTAAAAAATTTTTAAAATTGTTCATTGTGCCCCGAAAAACCGTTTTCGGTTCTGGAAACGGTTTGGACTTTGAACATAAAGATCTCTCGCAACGGTTCTTTAAAGTTAATGCTTTCCGAGATATTAATTATTCAAGTTCGAAAAAATGCGAAAATGGCTATTTTTATCCATAAAAACAATATGAAATACCAACGATTTCGATGTTGTCAAAGTTCTTAAGTATTCTGCAAACATCCTTCAATGTAGTCCTAAAGTGATTTAGGCTATTATTGAATTGCGACACCTCATTTTTCAACCCTGTTCTGGGCACTCTCTAGTCACTGTAAAGTATAATATCTATATGACCATACATAGCTTTTATTCGTATTATTAAAATTGTTGGTTTTTCGTATTGTTTCTGATGGACAAGAATGGCCATTTGCGTATTTTCCAAACTTTAAATAGTTAATATCTCAGAAAGTATTAACTTTAGAGAAAAGATACGAAACATCTTTCGCGTTCAACGTTTAAGGAACCTAAAAAAATGTTTTTCGAAGCATAATACACGATTTTCGGAATTCTTTGTGTAAAAAGTAATTAAATAATTTTTGACCAACTTCTTGAACTTGTAACGTACAAATTTGTTTTGAGCGTAACATGTTGCATAAGATCATGCGAATAAATAAATACAAATTTTTATTTCCAACCTAGGCTTGTTAACTGTTTGATTTTATTTTAAACTCAATATGGCAGCCAACATAACATTGTCAACAAACCATTTTTACAACGCTTTTGACATAGATATCCTATCTTAAAAGTTTTGATGGAGTAATTGAAATCTGGTTTATTCTACGGTATTTTGAAAAAAAAACGTGCAGTTGTGTCGATATCCATTAAGGACTCATCCAGACCTGGCCGCAATCATTGGATCATTAAATTCAAACTATAATAGATTTTTGTGTGTTAATAACGATTGGATGAGAAATGTGTCATTTTATCGGATGGTTTCACAACGTCGCTCCTTTCGTTGGTTGACATTCGAACGAAGGACAACTACGAGATGTATATCAACGTGCAACACACGGTGCAACGGATGAGGCTCGAATTGATTTACGTCGAGATTTTAGAAAGACGTCGACAGCGAGATTGAGAGTCATGCGACTCCTATGATAGTTGTGCCGTCGTATACGGAGCTGGTCTATTTCCCATTTCGCTGTACTTTTATGTATATGCACAGCTTATAACACTACACCATACGGAGTGTATATTATAGTATACTTACAGATGAATACCTATAAGTCTCCTTTCTTCTATTAATTTAAATTGGCAAAAGCTACATGGTATATACACCTGTACATACAGTTTATTTACAGAAATCTCCTACTGCTTCATTACGAGGTACTAAAGGCCTCCTGTGATCGTGTAAGTTGTGGAAATATCAGAATACCCGTACTATATTGAGCCGAGGTTACAACGAACAATCAATTGTTCGCCGATGCACTAGCCCGAGGCAGCATCTAAAAAAAGAAAGCAAAGAACGATTAAGGCGCGCAATCGTACGCGCGTACAACAACGAATAGAAAAATCCAACTTTATCAACGATTTCTTGTTACATTTATTCCCCTCGCAATTGCAATATGTAATGTTTACCGGTAGATGCGTAAAGAAACGGGCTGCTCCGTGATTTTAGCGCGCGCTCGTGCACTTAATACCGATCGTCATTGTACATACGCGTATACAATCTTACGCGAGCGATGATTCGATTTATGCAAAAAAGCCCGCGATCGGGTGAGCGGTGAATTGTTCTCCGGCGCGCGTTGTGCCATATTGCTGTTCCCTTTAGGCGCATACCAGAGTCATGATTCCGTGCTCTTGTACGTACAGTCATTTACATTTGCACGTGCGTGTATATCTTACATCCCGAGAGGCATGCGTTGCGCATGGATTACATTATTGTGTCAGTTGAGCCCGAGGAGCTTTGCTGTGTATGTGATGAAATACGATTTGCAAGATAACCGGAGGTGCAGTGATACGGTGGGCTATGTTAAATTTCAGAGTAGTACATGTAGTTTCAAAATTCACGATTGGAGTTTTTTTTTTACGTGGAAGTACTTGGATTACTTCTTTCTTCTGTTATTGATTAAAATTAGGATTTATTGTGGAAAACGTTTGAGTCGAGTGTATAATATATGTTTGTAAAAGAAAATAAAATTGTACCTATATAATACGCACGCTCGGCACATTGAAGCTTAATGAAGTTTTCTCAAATGCCTCGTACGAGACAATCACAGCAACGGCAGCTCGTAAACCAATAAATCCCAACACGTATATACATGGATCATTTCACAAAAAATGGAATTTGACATGAGGCTTTCAAAATTCAACATGAAGAATTTTTTCGTCGACTTTTCTATGTAAGATCCAAACAAGCCAAAAACTTCTAGGCCCGGATCCATCGTCATTTTTCGATTACTTGTATTAGTTAAATGGGATTTTTCAAAATTATAAAAAAGCATTACAGCAATGAGAGGTTTGTTATTACTGTAATGGTACTTTTTGGCAATCCTGAAACCCTAAATAGAAGAGGTTATCCGGCGCTTTCGTGCACTACCTATGGTGATGGTACCAACTCGATATTATAGTTTGGAAAAGCATCGAGAGTAGGTATACACTGCGGTATAATGACCACTTATTTTGCACCACCAAAATGCTCTGCATTTGACGTAACACTGCTACTAGCCACATTTGAATTTGGGGCTGCAAAAAAGTTGATAGTGTTCTCGTGTATATCCCAGAACACAAAACGATTTATTCCAAGTGTCAAGGAATTGGTCACTGGGCCAGATTAAAAAAAAATATTTTTCTGTTCTGAACTGAAAGAAAAAATGCTTGACACCTCAAACTTTCGGCAAACTTTCAACCTCGCTTTCAACATCTTATGACAACGCAAAAAATTATTTGGACTCAATTCCAAATTTTTCTTGAGAAGGAAATTAGTTTACCCCTTTCAGAAAAATTTGGAACCTTAAATAATTGAATCCGTTATTTTAAAACACGTAGGCTTCATGTAATATGACGGTTTTTCATGAAATGACCCATGTATTATGTATCCACGTATACGACCAAACATAAAATGATTTATTCTCGTCCAAGCCAAAAACGCTTTCAGCTAAAAGCCAAACTACACGATTACTTTTTTCACACTGATAAATATATCGTCGAAGCGTCGAAGTAGGTGTACGCCCGTCTAACGCGGAAATGGATTTCTTTTCCTTACATTAATTATTACCCAGTGCAAACATCGCGCGAATCTAATAGGTACATACATGCTTACGTATTACATGGATTTCATTGATCAATGAAACTTGAATGAGTAGCGAGAACAACAACAATACGCGGACGTTCGGTTGGGTACAGTAAAAAATTAGTGGTTGTTACTTTTTTTCAAGAAATCGTTATGAGTTTGGAAGATTTATTATATTGTTTATTACTGTTCGTCTTCGAATAACCGTTTATCGTTTGGTTTATGATACAAGACGATTTTTACGGAAAACCATACCAAATTTTTGCAATCGAAACCGTATGCACATGATTACACGATGAAATTTATTACCGATCTCTAAAAATAAGTATAGGAATAAGTCTGTGGAGAATCAAGTAGCAACAAAAAAACCACCAGACTACACGTGACCACTTCAAAAATAAACATTTCAGTGCCGGCGTTATTCATCTGTCAGGCGACACGCGGACTGCGCGGAAATCGCACACTAACCGCGTACCGATATTTACCGATCTGTCTCCATTCCACGACTTCACCTTCGAAGATAAAAAAAAAAAAATTTCCAAATCGAAAAAAAAATAAAGAGACACAACAGCAGCACTCCTTCCTTTTCTCCTCTCCATCCTCTCTTCCGAGCATCAATTTTGTTGCGTGTATGTGCCTACAGCAGCGTCGCGCTTCTGGTATAATCTCTCCACGAGCCGATCCCACCTATCTGGTCCCCGGCAAACGTCATCGTCCACCAATCGGCAAGCGAGTGTCTGACGACAGTCGCTAAAAATAGAACGCGCACCCATATGAAACATATATTAACACAGGCATCCCTACCGCGGCGAATCGAGGAGTGGGAGTGATTTAGGCCGCGGTGGATCGGCTGCAGCAGAGCTCATGTCGCTAGTCGCGCGCCGGCAGCACGACCTTATACATACCATTGTCATTGAACGCTGTGTTTTTCAAACGCGCAACACACATGTATACCTATGCGATCTACACGTGTATTTTATCTATCGTGTGTTGTTTCACTGCGGTTTGTTTCTTTGTGTAATATGTGATTAAATGCTCATCGAATCGATGCTACGCGTGGATCGTGTACCCGCGTTTTATTGAAAAATCGAACGCGTGTGTGCTCACTTGGTTCAAGTACAACACGTGTGGACGTTGGTGCGCGTAAAAAAAAAAAAAGGAATAATCTTTTTGCGAACGTGCGGGTGTGGGCGAGGGCACACTGTATGCGTGTATACTGTTGATACCTCGCTTAAGTACACATCGTGATGATAATTACACGGTCGCGTGGAAGTACTTGCGGTGAAATGGGCTCGCTGTGAGGAGCAAGCGATCGCCAAGAGATAAGGTGTTTTTCGACAAAAGTTCGGGGTGCGCGCGCGTGTGAGGCAGTTTGGAGATTTTTGTTTTTGCACTGTATTGCCGAAGGGGCAAAGTCAACATAACAAAGAGAATTTCCGCGGCCAGGCCGACGAAGACGACGGCTGCGAAGACGAAACGGTGAGCCTGGTTTTTTTGAGCAATAACTTTTTTTTTTTTGTTTCGGCCCTCACTCCCTCCTGCGCCTTGTTTTTAGATTGCGCTCCGGTGTCCAAGGCTTTTTGGCACTCCTTTTTTTTTCAACGGGCCTTTCGTTTGCTTGCTAAGTAATTTTCATGCGTCTCGAATTTGGGAAGCTTTTTTTTCTCTCAATGAGTCGAGATAGCGCTTCGGTGCTAAAGAATATCCGTCGGCGGTTTAAAAAAAAAAGGTGTGTTTTTCGCTCAACGACTGTATAACTGGGAGGATGCAGCACGGGATCTTTGTTTGCGCGTCAAATACTTATCTGTATCAATAAAACTTGAGTTTATTTAAGGGACATTCGGGTATCGTAAACTCATCACTGAAGCTTTCCTTTACGGCAATCACCAGCGTTTTCCAAATTTTCCAAGACAAATGTCGATTGTCGAAACCATCCCTGTAGATGAGCGAAGGAAAGGAAAGAAAAGCTACAAAACTTAAATAATCAAATAAATTTCCCCCGCATGTAACAATTTTATTAATTCACAAAGCACGACTCGTCCACAACAATTGACGTGCGGTTTTCTCATTGAAATCGCACGCGGGATTCGTTAAAAGAGAAAAATTTACATATTATGCTAAGTCGAGTGTAATAATAGCGTAATATAAAACAACCGAAGCATGTACACATACGCGCGCGTATACTATCATTCAGATAGTGATGCTGTGTGTTCGCTTCGTTTGCATGCAGAACATTAAAAAAATAGAGGTTCGTCCAGAGGCTGTCGCTCAAAGTTTTCAATATTTTCTGCGAAAAGTAAATTTCGTAGTCAATTATATTTCACCACAATCGGTTTTGAGCCATCGATTTTTTTTCTCAAGATCGTTAATCTCTACACAACAAACGATGTGGCGTTAACATGTTTTCAGATGAATAAAAGAAACATTCAAAAAAAAAAATTTACACGTGGAAAAAATTTAATTATGCATCATTTATAAGAGAAATGCATAATTTTTAAAAGTGCGATGGGCGTTCATACAAATATGTTGACAATGGATAACAAATTATAAATTATTTTCACCAAACCTTATTTCAGAGTTACTAAAATTTTGTATTAGAATAAAGTACAATTTTCATTATATTAAAAAACTTACAGCTAATTGATTGATAAGTATTTTCTTCAATGTACATTTTATCATTTTTCAGCTTAAAAAATTTATTTCATATTTGTTCGAAGTTTCATAACTTAATCAACAGTACAGATCCTATGCAATTTTCAATTGTTATTTGTACAAAACTTTTGTTTAATTGATAATAAGTCATTTTTATTATTATATTAAATTGAGTTAAAATCGATTTTTCTTGATTAATCAAAATTATTCAATGAATAAAAGCATTATTCGGTCTTACCTATAATTTTAAATAACTGATTAATTCATAATTTTTTAAAAAACAATTGTAAAGACTGGTTTTCTAGTATGTGTATAAACTCTAATAGGGCAGAATACTAAAATTGTTATAAAGAAGAAAGAAAGAATCTCTAGCTAATAATTATCTAAGTTCTGAATTGTAAACAATCACATTCGTAAACATGAGCATACACACAATACAACAAAAAGTTTCACTACATTAAAAATTACGAAGTTAGGCTTATGACTCACTTAATTGTTACTAAAAAATTACCTGTTAGTTAAAAAGGACGCATTAATATTTATAAAAATTATTGTAAAATAAGAAATGGAAATTTTTTGAGAAAGAAAAAAACAGTTATCTTAAAAACTAATAAATTATTATTGGTTAAAAATCACCACTTAAATTCACAATAAACCCATTGTGAAAACTGTATGGTGTTGTGAAAAATTATGGTTTCTTACTTGTGAAGAAAGAATGACATAACCAATTGGAATGTTTTAAAATAAAAAAAGAAAGCCACTTTGATACTCTGTAAGATATCATTATTAACTTAAAAATTCAGAGTTACTTTTATTTCACCACAAAAATCACAAAAAGTAATTTTTTGAACATTAAAAAGTTTTTGTATAAATCTTAATAAGGTATGAAACTGGATTTTTATTTTCGAGCCCCAGTAAGATGGAAAAATAAAAAATTTTAACACTGCATAATTGAAATCGACCAATTGATCTCTGAAATATGGTTGTATAACTAATTATGTACACACATACATACACACACCGACAAAAATTACGTATCTTAATAGCTTACACGTAAAAAATCATGTCCATACTTTCAAGAAAAGTTTATTTTCGAACAATACATAAAAATTTGCCATAGTGATACCGTCCACGCACTTTAATTATTTTATTAATTAAAAAAGTAATAAATTTCCTAATGCATTTGCAGCAACAATAAAACATTCGACTCTACTTACGAAGTGACAACAAGTTTGGATACTAATAGTTTTACTACCTCAAAAACGCTGTGATATTTTTTCCCAAACAGCCAATACCTCGTGGTGTTTAAATAAAAGGTTGGTAGAACAACCATTAGATACTAATTTTACTTTGATCAACTCTATTATAAAAACCCTCGAAATACATTAAAAAAATTCTGTTGATTGAAATAACTATTTTTCATCCAGCACTATTTAATAAACTTGATTCTTATTTTAAAAAATTTTCTATTTCATCAACTAAATAATGCAGACAGTTTGTATTACAAAATCAACAGATCAAATAAAAGTTTAGGATAATTCTATAATGTATGCTTTTATTTAGTTTATCAGAAGCGATTACGTATAAAGAATCGCCAAGGGGCTTTATAATGGTCCAACAGTTGTGCTAGCTTCCTAACTGGAGTAACTATAGAGGAGTCGTATGCTTGAATCTTGTCGAAAAATATAGAAATTTTTTCTTACGCTCCTTCAATATAGATGTAATACTTGGAGGATACCAAACACAATAATTTTTATATTTTCATGAAGATCAGTGCTTTATTCTCAAGTTTACATATAATTTACTCAATCAAGGCATTCGGTTAATATTATTAGCGTATAGTGACGATAACATATAATGAAAACGCAGGTACTTCACCCAATAATATTTCCTACAGTTAAAATAATTGTAACCCCATGTGATTGCGTCGAGTACGTAGATCATCCTGACACAGCAATAAAACTGCACTCACTCGCTTTATTACGATCCAAAACATCGTTAAGTCTCAATGAAAAAAAAAAATTAAAAAAAAAAAAAAAAAAAAAAAAAAAACGAAAAAGCTCCTTTTTAATTTGACGTTCGCCGTACACACCGACCCACGAAACTTCGTTGTGTGAGCAAAATAAAACACAAAAAGAGCTACGTGTAGGTACGTAGGCACATACCACCCGAGCAGTAAACGGGCATCGGTGTTTTAATGATGCGAATTGTATAATGTCGCGCTGCTCGTAACACCCCTACACCCACGCAACACATCATGAGTGTGTCCGTAGCATTGGACAGAGAGAGAGAGAGAAAAAATCGTTTTCAAGGCCACGGCTGTTGGTGCGTGTGTGTATACACTGTTACACTTATGCGTTGTTTTGACTTTTACTTCGCCATCCTCGGTCCACCCGCGGTTTCGTAAACTTTTTCTCACAAATTTAAGAAAGTCATAAAAAACTAAGCGAAGAAATAAGAAAAACTGCAATTTTTTTAAATTATTAACTGCTCGCAAAGAAAAAAACAAAAATAAAACGTACACAAGTGCGAATTTAAAATCCAAAAGTGGGTTTACTCGTATCACTCTTTAGCTGAAACGGCAATCCGATGTACATGCACGAGTTCCATCGAGAGAAACAATTAAATTTTCTCCACTTGTATCTAAGTATCTAGGCATGGCGTAAAAAGCCGGTTTCCTACCGTACTCCATTAGATACATCTCGGATTATGTGCGCACGTATTTTCATTCGCACACGCGGTACGTAGTTTTTCTCATCTCATGCGGTCTAACTAATGCCTTCTTCTCGGAAAATGCAAGCTCGATAAATATTCATCGCCTCGGGCATTCCGACTTTCCTACGATATTACATATTTTATGCAATTTATAATATCCATGGTGTACATTGACAAGCCTACTTTTTTACAAATAGTACATGCTTTCAATCATGACCATAGCATTAAAAACAATCGATATGTCATTTAAAAAAAAAAAAAAAAAAAAAAAAAATTGTATTTACTACATGGGTATAGGTGGGTACAATAAGCGAGAATTCATTCGATCGCCACATCGGTACACGGACGGATGACATGTACAGTCGGACTTAATTCAAGAACGAATGTGCTTACGTAAAAGTAAGAACAATGACGTAAAAAATTTCAATTCCTCAGTCGTTACACTATTACCCTCGTGCGTGAGATAAACGAGGGGCTGTGTTTTTTTTCTCAGCATCTGTCAAATCGATAGATCGATCAATAAGCGTTCAATCGGTGCACCCCCTACCGAGCGTAACGTATGTGAGAAAAAAAAAAGAAAAAAAAGTTTCAGGGAAGCCAGTTTGTACCAGCATGTACTATTTTTCATCCAAGTATAAGCTTGTACCAATGGCACACGTTGTTTTGACGCGTGCTACTCAATCATGTTATACCGTCAGGCTTTTAATAACTCCGTGCAAGCACGCGCGTGCGTGTGCGCGTGTATGCACAGTATGCTAATATCAGTCAATTGGATGGATAAAAATTTCTTGGCATATATTTAGAAAAAAAAAAGAAAGAAAGTTTTACGCGTTAGAGTAGTATAACTCATTCGTGATTATTGGTTGGGATGAAATTAACGCTTTTCTTTTTACCAACGCCATCGAGGAGATTTTTCAAGGGCGTACAGTGTTTACCTACCTGAGAGTTTGTACCTCAAGGGCCAAACATTTTTGTTACTTATGTAGAATACAAATGTTTATATCTATGCATTTTTTTCACGGTTTTGTTGAATTTAAGATTCTCAACGTAAGGTTTAGCTTCAAAGAAAATATTTAAAATTATGCCCATATTCTCATTATATTCGATTTTTG